CCACTCCCTAGCCCCCAGAGGTTCATGGTCATGTCATAACGCAAAATGCACTTAGTCCAACTTAAAAGTCCTCATAAAATTGAATGAGTTTTTAACCTTTAAGAAAGATCTCCATTTCATTTTAAAATATACTGTTTCTTACAGAAAGACTCACTGTTTTTGCTAACACTACTGAGATGATGGCGCATGCATCTCTACTCTGTATGTATCTGATTATTACTAGTCATAGTCGGTTGCACTCGGATCCTTAGCACCTATGTATGTCTATAAAGTCCTCAGGTAGATTTCAACGGTAATCTTTATCACCTCTACTAACTAACATGACATAAATTTTTATGCTTCCTCCTGAAATATAACTCGTTTTTTTAATTTGTTGATTTTTTTGTGTGTATATCTCAATAAATTTTTTAAAAATTAAGATAGTCATTTTATGCCTAGCATTTATGACATCCTTCTCTTAGTAATGGCTGTGCTTCTGCTACAATTATGCTACCAATCAATGGTTCATACCCATACCAAGCAGTTTCTCAAAAAAATTATAAAATTATTATAATCCTTGTACACAACTAAATATGCCATATTTAATTAATGCCTACTCTATATAAAAATTTGCTAATATAAATACCCAAGAAGGCAGGGAAATAGGTCAGTCAATAGTTTTCACTTGAACATGTACCAAGCATTGCAAAACCAACTCCTGACTACTCTCCCTGATATAAGTGTGTGTGGGGAAAATAGGCCCATTGGCAAAGTGCTTGCCATGTAAGCATGAGTTAGAGCCCAGGGGCCATGTAAAAAAGTCAGACGTGGTGGTACATGTTTGTAATCCCTGTGCTGAGGAGGTAGAGATTGATACCTGGGGCTTGCTGGCCAGACAGTCTGTTCTAATTAATGAGCGCCACACAATGAGAGATACTGTTTTAAAGAAAGTAGATGACCTTCCTTGGGAGAGCACCCATGGCTGTTCTCTGGGCTCCACACACATATGCACACATGCACCTGCACATATGCATTAAAAATAAATATCTATGGGGCTGGAGAGATGGCTCAGCTGTTAGGAACACTGGCTGCACTTCCAGAGGTAGAGGACCTGGGTTCCATTCCCAGCACCCACATGGTAGCTAATAACTGTCCATAACTCCTGTTCCACGGGATCTAAAACCTTCTTCTGGCCTCTGTGGGTATTGCCCACACATGGAACACTTACGCACATGCAGGCAAAACACTCATACACATTAAAAAATAATAATAAATCAAAAGTTATAATACATAGCTAAATAAATACCCAAGAATTTACACATACAACTGGCACTAAATACAGTCAAAGCATAATCATCAACTCCAATGGCTCATCTATTTAGAGGGGACCAGTTTTCAAAGACTTCAATCTAATGAGTAGCCCACTTAAGAAACACTGCTTAAATAAACAACTCCAGATTTAATGTCCAGGTTTTAATAATTCTTACTTGCTTTGCTTCATTCTGGGTCTTCAAAAATGTTTTCATATGTGTATTAGAAGAAAGTGAGAATGGAAGCAAAAACAAAGGAGCAGTAAGGAGTGGTGGACTCAGAAGGATGGAATCAGAGAAGGAAATGCCCCAATCCCTTCAGAGTTACAAAGAAGGACCCAGTGGCCAGCCAATCTTATTTCTCAGGTTCCTTTCCCAGCTGTCTCAAAAGGAAAAGCTCTCCTTTGCTTAATTCCAAGTCAAAGGATATTGTGCTTCTTTCAAAAGAACTTCATGGGGCAGAAGTAAAACTACTAGGGATGACTTAATTACCTCACCTCAGGGGCTACGTGTGCCACTACTTCAGGCATTAGTTTGTTTAACTTGTGATGGCCAATGTAAATAACCGCAAACAGGAGCAAAAGCAAAATAAACCACAGGTGTGCTTTACTGACTGCATAAACTCAGCCTCTCCAAAGGGAGGAAAGATATGAAAGCCTTCCCATTTACCAACATCCAGGTTTTGTCCTGCCCTCTTCTTATATCTTTGTTTTAAATTGTTAGTGCCCTAGACTCTTCCCTATCCTGATCTGCTCTTGCAAAAGCAGCACACAGCTAGATAAAACAGGGTAAGCAAAGGCTATTTGACAGTTAATAATGCTAGATAATGCTAACAACCTGTCACAAAAATGAGAAACATTGCAAGAAATAACATTGCTTTAGGTAACTTCTACAAATGACATTTTTTAATGTAACAAATGTTTAAAAAATGGGATATTTCCAACTATACAGTCAATTTAAATGCAGAGTATACTCATTTATATTAGTATCAAATAGAAGCCAGTTTTTCCCTAAATGTACATATGTATCAAATATTAAAAGACAAAATGGATAGTTATATTTCACAAAAACAAGAGAAACAACTTACCCCAGTCTTCATCACTTATCCTAGCAAAGGAACGGTCCCTCAGAATTCTAAAACATTGACAATATGGAAGGTCAGGAAGAAAGGTAAGATAGACACTGATAAAAACAGCTACATGCACTTTACTAAAAATTAAAATTAAAAATAAACTTACCCAGCATTGTTGACCACAACATCTACAATTAAGAAAAGAAGTTACAAGTCATAAAAGCAAGCATGGTAATTTGCATTTGCTTACAACTGACATTTATTTAAAAATTGTTCTTTCTGGGCTGGAGAGATGGCTCAGCAGTTAAGAACACTGGTTGTTCTTGCAGAAGACCCGGGTTCAAATCCCAGCACCCACATGGCAGCTAACAACTGTCCGTAACTCCAGTCCCAGGGGATCCGACAGCCTCTTCTGACCTCTGCAGGCATTGCATGACACCGGTGCACTTACCTACACGCAGGCAATACACACATACACATAAAATAAATAAAATTTTTTATATGAAGCATTTCATTACAGCTTTAACATACTCAACAGTTTCAAAAGCAAAGATATATCTTTTTTAAAAGTGGCTATGAAATTTTTAGGTTCACTGTTGAATTAATACAGTTATACAATACTGAACTCAGTATAAGCCCTGTAAGACATAAAATTGAATGAGTTTTTAACCTTTAAAAAAGATCTCCATTTCATTTTAAAACATACTGTTTCTTACACAAAGACTCACTGTTTTTGCTAATAATGCTGAGATATTGGCGCATGCGTCTCTAATCTGTATGTATCTGATTATTACTAGTCATAATCAGTTGCCCTTGGATCCTTGGTTCTTGTGTATGTCTATAAAGTCGTCAGGTAGATTTCAATGGTACTGTTTATCACCTCTACCAATTAGCATGACATAAATTTTTATGCTTCCTCCTCAAATATAATTCATTTTTAATTTGTTGATTGTTTCTGTGTGTGTGTGTGTGTGTATATCACACAGAACATCCCAAACCATCTTATTCAACTATACACCCACTTCCCAGATGGCACCCTCCCATAGACTCCCTCCCCCTCTAGAGCCCTTATACTCTGTTATCCCTGCTACTATCTGCTGTGTTGTCGGCACCCCCAGCCGTTCCCCACTACTTGTCCATCTGGTGAATCTAGTCAGCCTATCTAGAGGTCTTTGTTTTAGGAAGGTCAGTTGTCCATCTAGCAGCAATCGGTTGTCGATATTCCTTAGATAAGATTGGGGTCTGCTGTTCATTTTCCCAGTTCTATGCTGGGTTACTATCTGGGAATCCCTTGGGCCACCCTGGCCAACAACTCAAAAGAAGGTATCTCCTATCTGGCATTGTTGCTTGTTGTGTAGCCTTTAGCTATACATATGGACTCTTAAAAAATTATATTGGCCCCTTTAATCTTTGGTTATACTTTCCTTTTGGGGGTTTAAGGCTATACAGTTGGCCCAGAAAAACCAATTTTTTAATCGTTTTTTCTAAACCCACCCCCACAAAAAAGTAAATACAAGAATGCTATCAAAACAAAATTTTGTAGCTATACTGAAAAAAATTGACTTATAAAAGCACAATCATATTTTACCAGAGCCTTCCTCTCAAACTTACACATTTAAATTTCCTCTATCTTCTACCAAAATTCTCTCAGCTTACAGAAGTAGCTATTGCACTACTTTCTGCAGTGAATGAGGACTTAGACTCAACCATAAGCCAGCTTGTATTTAACTTCCTGCTCCTCAACAATCAAAGGCTCAGAAATGCAGAAAGTCACTCAGCAAGTGGGGTATGGTAATGCAAGCCTGTAACCCCATCACTTGGGAGGCAGAGCCAGGAGGATCAAGAGAGGACAGCCAGCCTCAGCTACAGAGCAAGTTTGAGGCCAGCTTGTAGCACATGAGATCTTGTCTCAAAAATTTGTTTTTGAAAATAAATCAAAGAAAAAAATTAAAGTTAAAAACGAATGCCCTATTATGGTAAATGTTTGTGATCTCACTATGAAAAGAAAGTAAAGATTCAGCCATAAGAATCCCATGGTTGTTTCCATTCTTTGACTTCACATCTTTGTAGTTTCTGTTCCTGTCCAATGACATGCTGAGTCTTATGACCCAACCAAACCTAACTAAAACAACAAATATGCTAAACAAAGAAGGGTATACATTCAATTTACCAAAAGGAATGTTTTTCATACTACAAACATACTGGTTTTACTTGCTATGTGTCCATCTGACAATTCATTACTTTCAGTAAGAATGTGTAGGACTTGGGGTTCCACCTCAAGTTGAAGAGCTACAAGCAATCAATGGATGCTCAGGGGGGAGAATCAGTTTTCTCCAGGGACTAGCCCCCAAGAGGTTATCTAATCCCAAGTGGGCAGCCCTAAACACAGGTCCACATGAGCACCACTAAATGCACTCAGTGCATTTATATATATATATATGTGTGTGTGTGTGTGTATGTGTGTGTGTGTGTGTGTATCGCTATAACAAACAAGAGGACAAGAAATTGTGAGTGTGTGGGAGGGAGGGACATGGGAGAGTTAGAGGGACTGGGAGGGATGAAAATAATGCAAATACAATATTCATGTATGAAAATCTCAAAAAATTTTTGAATCATATTATAATCAAAAAAGAATGTGTGGGACTAAACCAGGGGGGTTATCTAGAGAATAAGGACTACACAGTGCATCATAAAAATGAAGAGCTTTCTTCTATAAAAGTCTTTTGAATTTGTAAGATAGCAAATTGTTTTAACCCAAATGATCACCATTATTTTAAAAAAATCCATACAGTCCACTATCACCAAAAACTGATTAATCGTATAAATGTGTTTGAGACTTACTTGAATTCTAATCAAAAGAGCACAGAGCAAATACTTAACAATTTTTTACTTACATAAAGTGCAAAAAAACTAAAAAATAAACTAAGCACATATATGTCAACAATATCATTACCTCAAGTCCATTACAGAATAAGGTAGGGTAAATCAACTATAAAATAAATTCTAACCTTCAATTATTAAGAAAAAGAGATTTGTTCACTAAACAAATGTGAATTCACAAATATTTTATTAGGAAGGTAGGAGATGCTCTAGGACCATGTCTATTAGCTTTAACTGTCACCTTGACATAACCTAGAATTGCCTGGTAAGGGAGTCTCAATGAGAGGTTGTCTACATTGGGTTGACCTGTAGGCATGTCTGGGGGGGGGGTGTCTTAATTTAGCTGGTGTGAGAAGACCCAGCCCACTGTTGGCAGCACCATCCCCTAGGCAGGGGACCCGGAACTGTGTGAGAGTGGAGAAATCCAGCTGTGGGCAAGCAGGCAAGCAAGCATGTGCATGTTCATTTCTGCACTTGACAGTGGATGTGATGTGACTAGCTGTTCCTGCCTTGACATACCCAGAATGATGGACTGTAACCCGGAATTGTAAACTAAAATAAGCCCCTTTCTCCTTGAAGTTGTTTTTTGTCAGGGTGTTTTATCACAGCAACAGAAATCAGACAAACTAAAAATGCAAAAGAGCATCACCTATTCTGCCAAAGGTATCCAGCGCTGTCTTCACAAGCTTCTCTCCTGCTTCCACTGAATCTGAGGGAAGAGAAATTAGTGCAAGACTTCAATAAGCTCCCTCATATACCACTTCTAACTTCTGAGGCTCAGAGCACATGAGTGACACTATTCATCCAACAGAACTAAGCTCAAAAAAGGCACATAGCAATGAATATTACCAAAGAAATTTTTCTGCCAGACAATTCAATGACCAGCAAAATAAGGATAGAACAGGATGAATGCCTGACAAATACTAACTAAGGTGGCAATGTCCAATATAAATTCTTATGATGATGGAAAAGTCCTATTTTCATACTGTACAATAATTATATAGGGGGCTACTGGGTGTTCAAAGTATGGCAAGCATGACAGGCAAATAATTTAATTTATATTTACCTTTATGTAACTACACAGGCATTTCACCTTTGAGATAAATCAAGATTTGGGAGAGATGGAATACATATTTAATACACAAAAGTATATTCATTATTATACAACTACATGTAGGATACAAACCTATTTTTCACAATACTAACTACCAAAAGTAAAGTTCATCAGAGTGCTGTGGTTTTGTCACATTCAGTTGGTCAGCCCCAAAGCAAGGCTTAAAATTCCACAGTTGTATGTCAAATGGTCTGCTGTTAATTCACCATGTCACTGCCTCCTCCATATGCTCTTCATTCACAAAGGAAGATCCAAGAAATGCTGTCAGTCCCTTCCATGGGATCCATACAGTCAATAAGAGATACAGGTTGAGGCCAGGTGCAGTGGTACATCCCTATAATCAAAGAACTTGGGAAGGCTGAGGCAGGTGTGTCTCAAATCCCAGCCTGGGCTACACAATGAGACACTGTTTTGTTTTGTTCGTTTCGTTTTGTTTTAAAAAAAAAAAAAAAAATCATACTAAACAGCCTTTTTCCAAAATGCTTGGACCAGAAGTACAAAAGTATTCAGTGTTTCTGATCTTTTATTTCAGGGGTTCTGGGGTATTTGCATATACATAATGATACCCTTGGGGCAGAACCCACCTCTAAGCAAAGCATTAATTCATGTGTCATGAATACCTTATACACATATACACATAGCCTAAAGGTAATAGGTAATTGCATACAAATATTAAACTGTGCCTATGTCAGGACTACACCTTGACACCTAAGGTCAATTACGGGATTTTCTACTTACTGCAACAGGTTGGTATTCATCAAGTTTTGGGTTATGGAGCATTTTTTATTTCTGACTTTTTTGTCATGGATGCTCAGTCTGTAGACAGCTGCATGTAAGCAATACCATGTACAGGCTTCATATGTAAGATTGAGGGCTCATCCAGGTGAGGATCTGTTACAGGGTACATGGCTTCCTTGTCCCTTGCCTGCCCAGCCCTGCCAATAGATGCTGAGTATTTAATCTCCTGTTAAAGCCTTCCACACTTGGAAAGCATGAAAGGGCCACTGCCTGGAGTGAACGCTTATTGACACAGACTGTGCAAATGCGAACAGAAGGCAGGAATCTAGGATTTTCATCCTTATACGTTTTTAGAATGCTAAAGTTTAAAAAGAGGTGAAAGCAATTGGGCTTGCTGACAGTTGTGCTCATTCATTAAAGGAGTGCCAAGCAGGGTCACTGGACCCTCAACTGAGTATCCAGCCACTCTTCCCAGCCAACTAGTCCAGGCTTGGAAGACAAAAGAAAAATGAGGAAGAACCTCAAAAGGGATGCTTTTGGAAGACCTTGTCAAGAAACTCCAATGGACTCTCATATGAACATTTGAAAATTGCCCTGTTCACATTTTTTTCTAGTTCCCTGTCTAGAACTTGTAATGCTAATTACTCTTGCCTTTACTTCTCCTTCACATCTCCTATTCATGATTCAAGGACTTTCTTTTCCCCTTAGAGACATGAGTTATACAATTTGGGAGTCTTTTAGATAGACTCACTGAAGGGGTAATTCCAATTGCCTCACCCTGCATCCCTGTTCAGCATGGAAGAAGCCAGAGCAGTCAGCATCCCTATTCCCTATTGGCAATTTGGGTAACCCCTTCAGAGGATGGAGTGATAAGAATAGGAGGGAGGAATTGGCTAGGCAGTTAGGGTAAAAAGACCCCAAAGAAATGTAGCCAGTTTCTTGGCTAAAAGTCAAAATGTCCTTGGGCCTGTTAGCAACATACTCTGTTCAAGGCCAAAAATGACAAAAGTATTTGGGAGTTTGTATCTAACCCTTGAAAGATTTTAGGATTACCTCTTCAGAGGGGAGAATGTTGGAGGGGAGGGAGTGGGCATGGATTTGCTCAAAAAACCTTATATGCATGTATGAAAGTCTCAGTAAAGTTTTTGTAAAAATTAAAAACAGAGGTGAAACATTTTTGCTAAATAACCAACGTGGAGAAAAGATCGTGAACATCTCACTATTCCCTCAATTAATCAACACAAATCATAACCTATTTCCTTTCTCCAAAAATTTCAAAATGAAGTCAATCTAATTTTATCTCTGGCCTACAAAAACAGTCTGGCTCTATAGGAAAGTCATTTATCAGTAACCACTAACTTTTTAAAAGTATATCTACTCAAAAAAATTTTTGAGGGTCTCTGATAGTGCTACATTCTGAACATACGAAGGGTACAAAATGATATTTTTTCCAGAATATTTCAAAGGATGGTGCCAGTCTATTTTTGTCTGCAAAGCACCTTCATATACTGTTACTGTAGGTCATTTTGTCTCTTAATTAAAGTAAGACACCATATGTCCATAGTTTTGGCCTGTACTGAAACGGGGGAAAGAGGGTCCCCTAGAGGGTTTTTAGTCTCATTCATAAAAGAATTGAAGACTGGACCCAAATGGCAGAAAGCAGATGAACTAACAGAGACCTTCTGAACTGGTATTGTGCACCTTGACAAATGCCACAGACTCAGAACTGTACATATCAAATAAATCCATAAAATAATAAAACTATCACAGGAACACACTCCCCTGTAGAAGGTTTAAGCCAAAATTCCTCTCTAGCTGGGACCTAAAAGCAAAAAAGATTAAATCATAAAGAAAAAATATTGCTAAACCTCATAGCATAAATATGAAATTTTTCCTAACTAGATAAGTGCTATAAGCAAAGGTAACAGCCTAGGAATGTGTGTAATCAAGGACGAAGTGTTAACTTCCTTAATATCTGAAAAAAATAAAAATATTAATTAAAATTTTTTAAAAAGTGAATCTACTCAACAAGCTTCCTTACAATACTACCAGCACATCAAATGCTGTATCTGTATTTTATTTTATTTTATTTATTATTTTTATTTTATGTGTAGAAGAGCCTGTAGGATCCCCTGGGACTGGAACAGACAGTTGTTAGCTGCCATGAGGGTGCTGGGATTCGAACCCGGGTCTTCTGCAAGAACAACCAGTGTTCTTAACCGCTGAGCCATCTCTCCAGCCCCTGTATCTGCATTTTTTTCATGGCTGTACTTAATATTTGACTCCTGAGTTTTTGCAAAGCTAAAGCTACATATAGTAGTGACTACTTGTGCACAACAGAACATGGTGGCCTACACAGAAAAGGGGCATTCTCTACTTAACACAATATGCTGTAAGAACCCTTTAAAAGCAACTTTAAGAAGAACAAAAAAATCATTCTGTGGAAATATATAAGGCCTTTTAATTCAAATAGACCTGTTAGGAACATAACCATACCTGTACCAACTTACTGATTACATCAGGTACTCATTAAAGAAAATGAAATAAGTTTCAGAACAAAGGTTAGTTTGTAAAATAATAAGCATCAAACATTTAGAAAATTCTCACATACTATAAAAAGTATGTACTCAAGAAGTTTGGCAGATTTGAATAAAATCTAATTTCACAGTTATAGTGAATGCTAATATAGTTCTTCAAAGATTACTAATGTGAACAATTTCCATTATTAGAATGAAAATAAATAATATATGTCCATTAAATGCCATACCATAATTGGCCACTGCCTTTCCACCTTTCCTTCGTATTTCTTCAACAACCTTATCAGCAGCTGAGGAGCCTTTACCAATTCCCTTGTAATCTCCTCCTAAGTCATTCACTGCAATGCAAGAACAAACAACAATTAAATCTTCAGATCTTCCAAATACACATTAGATATAAAATCCAAATTATTAGCATGCTTCTTCAATCATCTGCCAATTTCCACCCACACTATCACCGTTCTTACTAAACACAAGCTAAAGTACGTATGGTCAAACACGCCTCACGGCTGGGAATGTAGCTCTATCACAGGGTGCTTGTCCAGAATGCGCAAAGGCCCATATTTGATCTCCAGTACCACGAAATGACAACCACCACAAAGTCTAAAACATAGATATAAAGAGCAAAAATTCTTAAACCCAGGTTCATATCATGAAATGTTCACTTTCAATATGTTTTTCCTCTTTGGGGAAGAAAAGATGACTTAGCCCAGAAAGAGACAGAGACAGAGACAGAGAGAGATGAGAGAGAGAGAGAGAGAGAGAGAGAGAGAGAGAGGTTGAACATCACTTCAAAAGCAAATACATAGAAAAACAATACAGAGATTTCTGGCAACTTTAAAAAAAGAGGGCATAAAAATGACCCAATGAGGGGCTGGAAAAATGGCAGCTAACAACTGTCTGTAACTCCAGTTCCAGGGGATCCGACACTCTCTTCTTACCTCCATGGGCATTACACAACACAAGTGCACTTACATACATTCAGGCAATACATTCATATACATGAAAAATAAAAATAATAGGGCTGGCAAGATGGCTCAGTGGTTAAGAACACTGACTGTTCTTGCAGAAGACCCAGGTTCGAATCCCAGCACCCACATGGCAGCTAACAACTGTCTGTAACTCCAGTCCCAGGGGATGTGACAGCCTCTTCTGACCTCTGCAGGCATTGCACGACACGGGTGTGCTTACCTACATGTAAGCAATACATGCATATACATAAACTAAAAATAATATAAATAAAAATAAAATATTTTTGACTGCCATGTGTGTGCTGGGAATCAAACCCAGGTCCTCTGCAATAGCAGCCAGTGCTCTTAACCATTGAGCCATCTCTCCAGCCCCACAAAATATTTTTTTAAATGACTCAGTGATTACTAGGAATGGAAGAGGGAGAAAGGAAGCTAGCCTGGAAGCAAGGTAGACATGACAGATGCATATTTACGCATATGTGAAAATACTACATTGAACCCTATGAACATATACAGTTAATATGTTAACAGACCAAAAATGAAAATGACCAATGATCCAGTAATTTCATTTAAAGGCAGTTATCCAAAAGAACTGAAATCAAAACAAAAATCAATAGAAACTCTCTTCAAATACTGAAGAGCTATTAGCACTCACACATCCATTGCAGCACCAGTCACACAGGTAAGGTACAGAAACAACCTAAATGTTCACAGCGAGCAAATGGACAAAGAGGATAAGCCCTAAAGACACTGCTAGGTAAAGACAGACAGCCAGAAACCAAATACTGTATGGCACCCTTAGATGTGGTTTTCTGGGCTAGTCAAGCTCATAGAATCATAAAAATAGAATGATAGGTACCAGGAAATGGGAGAAATTGGAATTAGGGAGTTTTAATGGGCATAAAATTTCAATTATGCAACATGACTACAGTTAGATACATCTACCATGTAATATAGTACCTATAATAATAGTGTACTATAAACTCAAAATTAAGGTTAGCTCTTACTTCAAGTGTTCTTTCTAGAATAAAAAAAAATTATAAAGATATTAAACACAATATAAAATATTTTCTCTGTCAATAAAACCATTGTTACTTGAATGGTGATACGAAAAAAGTATGTTTAAACCACACTAGGCAGAGAACACTTGTAAATTTTCATAAGACACACTGTCATGATCTAGAATGAAAGAAAAACAATTGTTAAAAGAGGACAAAAAGTATATACCAAACAACATTTTCAGTTTAAAGGTTCCATCTTTATATGTTTAGCAAGTAAATCTGCACTATCTCCCTAAATTCAATTATGCAATTACTAACATCAACTGCACATTGACTATTTTCAAGAACATCTACAGGGGACATATAAATGCATAAGAATGATGCTCACCCTCAGAATTTCAAACATACTGAAAGTATATGACAGGCCATAGCATCAAGTGTGTGTCAAAGTCAAAATAACCAGGTAACAGCAACAAATAGCAAACTTGGTTCACACAATAATTTAAGACAAAAATCTATAAAATAACATGTAAAAACTAATGAAAACACACAGGTCAATGCTAAGTAACTTAGAAAAACAGAATTTAAGAAAAATATTTGGGACAAAGAATTGTTTTTATAAACGGTTCATTTTTGTAGGATGGCTACATGATTTTATGAAATGGTACTATTTGTAAAGTTATTTTGTGGTTTTGAGAATGTCATAATAACAAATTACTAATTATAAATGATATAGGGTTATATACTAAAATTTAAGTCTTTCAGATTGATGAGTACCAAGATTTTTTTTTTCTGAAGAAAAATGGTCTTTTGAATTGAAGTAGGGTTCAAGGTATAATTAGGTAGCTAAGAAGGTAAAGGGAGGACACAGCAAAGAAGCCAGTGTCTAAAACCAGCTATGGTGAACATGTTTTCATGCCTGCTTTTTTCTTTTTTAAGGAACTGAGTTTTCTAAAATTTAGACAGGGCTATATTTTTTTCTTAATCAAGTAACATTACCAGTCTTACTGAAAATAAGAAATTCTGTAAAGATGCATATAATAAGCAGGTTTACATTACCCCTTCTAAAGAGATGAAAAATATCAATTTGCTGAAGACTGAATTACTACTAATTAGTCATTTCTAGGTAATTATTCAAATGGCATAAAACAACCAGTTAAAAATAATCATAATTTTCAAACAAGTAACTAAGAGTTTTTTATGATTCTTTTCAAAGAAGCACAGGAAATTTCAAAACCAAATTGACAAATACACCATTTTAAGTGAAGAAAGAATTGCTTGAGTGTGCAATGAAACACTACCCCCAAGTGGAAATTTTATAAAGTACAACCAAATACATGAGCACTTGAGGTTGGATAAATAATTTGAGAAAAACTACATATAGTAAGCAATATCAGAACAGAAATTTTTAAAAAGTCTCTACATTAGAGGGCTAAACTAACAGATTCATTCAATCACCAGAGCTAAATCACAGGAATTAAAGTAGAAAAGTCCTGAATGCCTTGGAAAGCAATAATGTTTTTTAAAAGATTATTTGGAGGCTGGAGAGACGGCTCAGCAGTTAAGAGCATTGGCTGCTCTTATAGAGTACCCGGGTTCAGTTCCTAGCACCACATGGTGACTAACAACCATCCATAACTTGAGCTCCAGGGAATCTGACACTCTCTTCTGACCCACGGGCATTGCACAACACTTGTCAGGCAGTACACTCATATGCATGAAATAAAAATAACAAAAAATAATAACTACATAAAAAGATTATTTGTAATCATATAGAAAAAGAATTGTGGTCACACTATGGAACACAGTGGCCACTTTGATAATGGTGAAATATCTAGCAGTGGTATCAGTAATAATAAACCAAACAATCTAATATTAGTATGTATATACTTAATTTTTGACAGTTATTAAACTGATACATTTAACATGCACAGTTTTTTAGAGATTGGCAATAACAACCAGTCCTGTGTTCAGAGATGAAAAAAGAGTTTGGAAAACTTGAGCCCAGACTCAGATCTTATCAAATGACAAAGTGCAGGGAAGAACCTGGACTTTCCATGGCAATAGAACTTTGTTCCTCTCAATGCCTCCAGCAAGCTACTCAGCCTTAAAAGAAATCAACATTTCCTCTAAGAAAAAGAAAAACTGCATTTGCTTAAGGTGGGTACTCCTTGAGGAGGCTGCTCCACTCAGGTTTAAAACAGGCATGGAAAGATTACCACAGGTAAGGATAAAATGTTCTCAGTTGGACCCACCATGATTTCTCAAAGTGTGATATGTTTCTAAATTCTCCATTTTAAAAATCAAGTTCAAAGGGCAGGTGCAGTGGCACACACCTGAAATCCCAGCACTTGGGTGGAGGCAAGAGGCAGGAAGATCAAGAGTTCAAGGTTATCTTCAGCTACACAGTGAGTTCTAGACCAGCCTGGACTACATGAGATCCTATCTCAATAAAACAAAACAAACAACCAAACAAATTTTCAGTTCATATCCCTGGAAGTTTTTTTCCCCCCTTAGGCAATTTTTTTCCTATTTCTGTCATTTGAAATCACTCAGTGAGCTGGTCAATCTACTGAGGATTCCAAGTGGGGAGGGGCTAGGAGGGTACTCCTAAAAACTTAATCTCCAATAATCGCTGCAATGGAAACTTACGGGGGTCTAAGAATTCTAAAGCAGACATAGATCTACCCCCCAAAAAAGTATCTAAAAGTAAATATATGGATAAATAAAGTGCTAAATTATCCATATAGTTATGGAACTCCCCATGTAGACCAAGCTAGCCTCAGTTTCACAGGGATCTGCCTCTGCTTCTGGAGTGCTGGGATGAAAGGCTACGTCTCTAATGATAGTTATCTTAAAGACAGAGCCACACCTGATAGAATACACAGCTCCCCAGTCTCACAATATTGCTATCGTTTCTGTCAGAAAAAAAAATTAATTCTAAATTGTGGCTCATTGTTTTAGCTTACGTTTCTTTGGGTATTAATGAACCAACACTTTATTTTCATGGCTTCCTGGTCATTTCTTTTCTTACTATTTTCCATTATAATTTCACAATTTATTTGGAGTATGTTTTTCTCATATATTTTTAAATGTCCCTTTAAAAGAAAAAGATTTGGATTCTTTTTCATGTGTTATTAATCATAAATTCCTTGTTGAAATGTGAAGTAAAGGTCCTATCTGAGCATAAATACTATTTCATGGAGATCATAGAGCTATTTTTCAGTGTTTTATAAAATATTTTATTTATTATTTTTATTTTATGTTCATGAGTGTATTGCCTATATGTAAGTGAGTTGCACCCATGTCGTGCAATGCCTCGGAGGTCAGAAGAAGGTGTCAGATTCCCCTGGAACTGGAGTTAAG